AAAAAGACAAAAAGGAAAAAAAAAAAAAGAAGAAGACTTTCAGCAACATCAGGGAGGAAGGCTGAGGCTGGTGTCCTGTGGAAGGCGAGCTGCCGTGTTGTCCTGAGACCAGGGGGCCTTCCCCCAGGCAGCACTAAGCCTGTGCACACAGCAACCCCACCCATGAGCTCTGCTCCCAAGGGCCCCCACCCATGAATGTGAAGCTCGGGCTGTTGGGCCAGCAGAGCCTCCACCACATGGCTGCCGAGGTGCACAAACACCGAGAGAGAAGGATGCGTGCACGGGATGCCTTGGGGTGGGGTGGGGGGTATTTATGGAAACAAAATTTTACACTTGAGAATGTGAGAACATAAACCTGAAGGAAACCATCGCGAGATATCCTAGGATCACACACTGTGGGGTGGGAGGAGATTGTGTCGTCCAACTCTGCATTTTACGTAAAATCAATCTACGAAGAAAGCAGAAAGGAGTTTTAGGGGACATCTTTGGAGAGAGGGTGTCTGCCCAGGATTCTGACTGAGAGCTTCCCTGGTTATTGGCCTAAATCGGTTGACTTGCCCATTGTTTTTGACCGAGGTCTCTCACCTTAGATGGAGAATCATTTCTTTCCAAATGGTTAGAATTGCCCATCAACAGGACTCCCTGCAAGAGTCAGGCTGGGAAATTCAGGAGAATCAGATTGTTGAACCAATGTGTCCACAATGACCACTCCCCAGGGGGCACCGAAAGCTCGCAACATCTGTTTCTCTGCCTTATCCTGCAGGCAATATTTCCCCCACATTTTGTAAAATAAATAATTCAAAATATAATGAAAAACCCAGGCAAGGACAGGTGCTGGCTAGCAAATGTGCTCTGTCCGTTATCAGTGACTCATAAAACATCTGCGGGTCATTCCCAGGCTAAGGGACACAGCAGAGAGTGTGGAATGCTGAAGCAGCAACCCGGGCAGAGACACGCCCGCACCCACCCCTGATATATTACCTTTGTCTTTATAAATAGAGCATCGTGACTCCAGTGGCCACCATAAGAAAAGGCCAACGGTTGAGTTCTCTTTTCCTCAAATATCTACACAAATCCTCAAAAATCTACCAAATTATATCCACTGGCAAACCGGACACTTCTTTATGAGCTCTCCAATTGCCATGATGGCCAAGGGCCAAGTCTCAGCCAGACCCAAATACCCATCCCTATTAAACAATCCACTTTGCATTAAGGCCTATGACAGAATTCCTTTAAATAAAAAGCCCAATTAATATGATATTTCAAGGTCACGTCTGTCACATAAGATGGACCAACTAAGACCAATAAATGTGGGCCGGTTGGCTTGGCTGTCTTGACTCCCCAGTTACCAATGTGACAGCTTGGTGATCACCTTCTGCTGGACAAGACTCTGAGCCACGTATGTGGCTTAATGTGGGAGGCAGTATCACATGAACTGAAGAACTGGGTGTCCCATAAAGCTTATCTTTTAGCCATCTTAGGAAATTTGGGTTTAAATTCCCTGTTCCCCTCCACTGTCAAAAATATATTAATTTTGATCAATCACATCAGACCACTCGGGTTAGATGACTGTGACCCCTGGGGGGAAAAACAACTGGAGCAAACAGATGAGTAACCCTTGAGAAAAACCAAAGGATGATGAACCGGCGTGGGTCACACTTCCAGGAAGCCTTTACAGCTCNTTCTTCTCTGTACTTTTCTGTATGACTTGAATCTTTTACTGTTAGTGTTTCTCATTCAATATAACTATTTATTTTGATAAATATAATTTCAGTGTTGCCTTCATTCTGAAGGCCTTCAGCAGTGTTTTCGGGGCACTGTGAAATCTATCCCAGAGGAGAAAGCTCTCTCTGTTACTGGAAATAGCCCCAGGGCAACAAGGATCTGACTGACAGACATGTTTGCCCAGGTCAACAGAAGGAGTCTGATCACTGGAGCTTGTTGGTTTCATTTGAAATCTAGCATTTTGTTTCAGTCTGTGATGCGCTCACTGACTACCTGACATGACTT